CAGGGAGAAGGGCAGTAGGTGCCTCAGATGCTGGATCTCTAGTAATTACTATTACCACATGATGCCTCAGTAGGATTATTATCATCTATACACACCCTCTGGCTTCGTCTTCTCAGCCTCCCCATGGACCCTTGTTCTTGGGTTCCTGTCCCTGCAAGCCCCATGTCCAGTCTTGGTTATCAGGGATATAAATCCCAAGGGAGGCAGGCTTTTCCTGGTTATTCGGGTTCTACCACAGTTGGGCTTTGGCCCATTTATAGCCATCTTCAGTAACTCATTCTGAGAAAGAGAGAGAGATTTAGGAGTATATTCATTGCTCACAAGTGTTTTAATTGTTCCATTCTGCTTTTATTACGTGCCCTGGAACAGAGACCCGGTTAATACCCCCTATTATTCACTCTGTTCCTTCAGAGCCCTATTTTAGCCATTTAAGGGACAAATGGCAGAATTGAGCTCTTCTTAACCCTGTTCCCTGTGCTGTTTGGGGATGATAATTTTATTCTGATTTTGTTTGAGTGTGCCACCATCAATCAGTCTCAGCATCTTAATGTAGGATTCCTTGTCTTTGTGCTTAGAGGTCTTTTTCAGAAGGGCCCAGCGCCTAGGTGGCTCAGTCGTTAAGTGTCTGCCTTTGGCTCAGGTCATGGTCCCAGGGTCCTGGGATCGAGCCCCGAGTCGGGATCCCTGTTCAGCGGGGAGTCTGCGTCTCCCTCTGCCTCTGCCTATCCCACCCCCTTACTCGTGCGCTCTCTCTCTCTCTCTCTCACTTTCTCTCTCTCTCTCAAATAAATAAATCTTAAAAAAAAAAAGTATTTCTCTCATTTAAAAAAAAAAAAGTAACAAAGGAAGCATCCTACATGTCTCTAGAGAACAGCTCTATCCAGAAAGCAGTTAAGTTCTTGCTTGCACGAGGCAGTGACTTTGTCCTCTGTGCCACCCCTGACCTTTCATATCCATAGCTCTCTGCCAAATATGGTACCCAACAAAGGCACAGGGGGACCCCCATCTATCCAGAGACTGTCCTGGGTTCATCATGGAAAAGTCAGATCTACTACAAGTTTAACTGGTCCTGTCTCCTCTGCTTTTCCTGCCCAGGTGAGCGAAGTCTAAGGACCAGTCCTCAGATGAAATGGCAGGACTCAACCCAGTCCAATTTGCGTGAGCTTTGAAAGCGCCCCTCGTAGGCTCTGCCTGCAGCATCTTGCTCCTTCCTGATCACAAAGGGTCTCACTCAGGGGAAATCATTGTTCATTCCAGGCAATCTAAGGATTCTTGTCCTTCCACCCCTTGAAAATGCAGGCTTTCCCCATCTGCCACACCATCACCACCAGCCCCTCTTAAAATCTGCCAAGTACAACCCATTGCCTTCCTCTGCGCTCTCTCGCTTTCCATTTCTTCCTTCTGTCCCTTCTTTAATCCCCTCTTCATGAGCCCTCTCTCCCCCCTTCCCCCCGCCTCATGCGCTGCAGGCAGGACCCCTCTGGGCTCTCCTTCCTGCAGCCGCGTGGCTGGTCACCCCTGCTCAAGTTTAGAAGAGCAGTTGTCATGGTGAAGGGCACGGCACTCCTCTTTCCCTCGTGGCTCTGATTCCCTCCCTCCCCCTCGGTCACACGGGCCATGACCACACCTACTCTGGCTCCGAGATGGGCAAGAAAAGCATGGCAGGAAGGGGAGAAATTCAAGATGATGCTGTAGGAGTCCCCACCCACACCCCATCCTCTGACACCTGACATCCCCTCAGGACCCACTACCCCAGTTTCCATCAGCTGCGCTTGCGAACTTAATTGGCACGTCCGTGGGTGCAAACATGAATTACAAACCAAGCCCTGTAATAACCTGAATCTAAACCTTAACTCAGATTCTAAACTAGAGCCCACACCCTCCCCAGGGTCCCCTCGAACCCTAAGCCCACGCCTACCCACAATGCAATCTGTAGTCTGACGGTAGCTCAAAACCTAACCAGGACATACAGGAAACTTCTCCAGCGCAACTTCCAACCACCATAACCCATACGCTGGTCTGCACTGCGTAACAGCAGATCTGTGCTGACGTTGGAGGCAACTTTCCTTGCAGGACACGCTGGAGATGTGTTCCCGGGAGACGGAGTTTAAGAGCATCCTCTTTGCTCTTTGTTACTTTCACGGGGTGGTGGCAGAGAGACGGAAGTTTGGGCCACAGGGATGGAATCGTTCATACCCCTTCAACACCGGGGACCTCACCATCTCTGTGAACGTGCTCTACAACTTCTTGGAGGCCAACACAAAGGTAGAGTTTCTGGCCGGCGCAGGGCAGGGGGGTGCGGGGGGTGGGGCGCCTCTCAGAAGGATGAGGAAGCGCCAGCACAGGGAGAAGGGGCGCACACTGCGAGTGGTCTACACCCTCTCCAAGTACAGGAAGGAAAGGCCAGCCAAGGACCAGCGCGAGGCCAAAAAGAGCACCTGAATGTGCTAAGTAATGGCAGGAAATTAGGAAAGTACCCTGGTCTTTACTTTGTTCCATGTGACGTTCGCCCACGGAAGGGACTTGTCGATAGAACCTGACTTAATGACCGTGAGAAAGGGAAGGCTTTTTTGCAAGGGGGTTGGCACCTTGCCTGCACTCACCCTTGGATGTAATTTTTCAAGCCTTTAACGAGCTCCCAGGCATGCCTGACCCTGCTAGGCACTAGGGGTGTGCAGGTGAATACAACATTGCTCCTAATCTTGAGCAACATCCTGTCTTGTGGCTTACGCTCTGCCCACAGATCAGGGCAGCCCCGATGTCTGTGTGGAGGTCTTTCTTCCCTGTCTCTCAGGTCCCCTATGATGATCTGCGCTACCTCTTTGGAGAGATCATGTATGGAGGCCATATCACAGATGACTGGGACAGGAGACTCTGCAGGACGTATCTGGAGGAATTCATCAGACCAGAAATGCTAGAAGGAGAGCTGTCTCTGGCACCAGGTTTCCCACTCCCGGGCAACCTAGATTACATTGGCTACCATCAGGTAAGGCTCCGCTCATACGAGACCTGGGTCTTCCTTCAAGTCTGTCCTGCAGGACCAGGGATGTTCGCACAGGGCCAGGGAAAAATGGCCTATAGAACAGAGCTCATATGGAGTGTGGTTCTCAGCCCCAAGTTTGCCCTATTCGATTTGAGAGCTGTAGGATTCCCAGCCTCAAATTAGCGATACAATTGAGCTTTCGGAGATCTTTCTATTCTTGATGTTTGGTTCAATAATTCTATTTGTTGCTCTTTTCTGCAAATAACATCTGGAGCATTCGTTTGATTATTTTCATCCAAGATATTGACAAAGCCATGAGGAGCAAAATTCCAGGTTAAGAACCTAGCCAACTCTGAGTAAAGTTTAGCGATTCTAAATATCTTCAGAGGGACATGACCTTGTGGGCAGATCATTTACCCCTCCTGTTCTTCGTTGACTGATGTAAACACAGGCACACAGGCCCATTACACACACACACATTCCCAGGGAGCTCTTCCTGTACTGTTACTTTGAGTTCTCATTTTACTAGGACCACAGCTATTTTTTAAGTGCTCATCTTTGCGTATTTATCCTGCCATGGAAGATACATTAAAAGATAATTTAAAAAAAAAAAAAACCTTTTCTGTTGCTTGACTTTTGAACATGCCTAAATAACTCTGAATACCAACCTTAAGGGAAATACCATAGAAACATTAACTGCAAACTTAAAAAAAAAAAAAAAGTTTTGAATTCATAAAATTTAAACAGAAGGGCACCTGGCTGGCTCAGTCAGAGGAGCCAGTGACGCTTGCTCTTGGGGTCATGAGTTCGAGCCCCACGTTGGGTATAGAGATTACTTAAATAAATATTTTTTTTAAGAAACCATAAAATTGAAAGAGATAAACTGCCAAAGTCATTCAAACCAGAAAAATTTGAACCTATGAAAAGAAATTTCAAATAGTAAGACTAAAGAAGGAATTTTTTTAAAACTGCTTGACCAGAGGCCGTGAAATTTGTGCAAGAGCGCCCCCTAGTGTCTGCCAGATCATCCGACAAGAGGCTCGAGGCGGAGTTTGCACACTCCCAAATGACTGAGACAGATTTTCATCTTCTTTACATCTCTCTTTAATCCACCAGTTTATAGATGGGTGCAGGCCACCTACCAAGAGTTCAGGAGTCTGCTGGGGGCTGGAAGAAATACAAAAATAAGCACATGAATTTGCCTTTAGGGAATGAGCCATCTTTTACTTAGGCAAGAGGATACACCAGGAAATCAAAATCAAATTAGGAGGGGCACTTTTTCACGGTAATGGAAAGAACTGGAAGGGGTACCCAGAAAACAGAGAAGAAAGTGAGGGACAGTTTTTTAGGGACAGCCAACGGTGGCCCACCATAACTGACCAGAGGGATGCATTGTTCGGATGGCACAATTAAAAAATGTTTTAATTCAAATAATTTTTGCCAGAGGCAGGAATTCCCTGGTTAACAGCAAAACTCGCCTTGTCCCACCACTTGATTCACACGTAGATTTTGCACGCGTGGTCCCATGTTTGCATTTAGGTTTGTCATCTCTGATTGCGGTAAATGGAGAAGAGAAAAGGACTTTAAGGGCAAGAGGGCAGGGGTCCTAGGAGGGCTTGAGTAAGACACGAGGTAGGGGTCAGTGTTTCTCAAGGACTCTGGGAAGGCTTGTGTGTGGAGGGAGGGACAGGTGTAGACCAGGGAGCGGGCAGAGTGGCGGGGAGACTGGAGACGGATCCAGTCCTCTAAGCTTCCTGAAAAAGCGAATGCCCGCATGGGCATGGACGTTCTGGAAAACTGGCCCGGCACACGGTAAGTAACATGGTGTCAGGACGAGGCTGGCTGCAGGGATGTGCGCCAGGTGGATAGGTGCCCACGACGGCCAGAGCCGGTGAGCAGCGCTCGCCTGGAGGGCCCGAGGTCGGCGGGTCCCACGGACGGCCCCCCGGAGGGTGAACCAGAGTGGGAGGCGGGAGGCTCGTCCCAGTCGGTGTCTGAGCTCGCCCCCGACTTTCAGTACATCGATGCCGAGCTGCCTCCAGATTCGCCCTACCTCTACGGCCTGCACCCCAATGCCGAGATCGGCTTCCTGACCCAGACCTCGGAGAAGCTCTTCCGCACCGTGCTGGAGCTGCAGCCCCGGGACAGCCACGCCGGGGACGGAGCAGGGGCCACAAGGGAAGAAAAGGTAAGTGGGCGGGGGCGGGGGGCACTGCCGAGCCCCTTGTTGGGCGCCCGACGTGGGCACAGGGAGCCGCTCCTCCTGCTGGTCGCCCACCACGGGCACCACAGGCCACGCCTCGCACGCCTTGCACGCCTTCCACTCGCACGTGGCTGGCGCAGCCTTGACCCGCCGCGCCGGTTGTCCGGCTTAGCCACAGGCGGTGCCTGCCACTGGGCTCGGTTGGCTTTTCTGGTTCGCCCAAAGACCATTTCTCTTCCATTTCTCTGCCAAAAGGAAGCAAGGCGGGAACAGTGGCGGCGTGGGGAGCTAGAGAGGGACCTCATGATTTCTCGGCGAACTGAGCAGTGCCGGTGGGCAGCTGTACTTAAGGGGGCCACCCTCATGCCACCAACTAGATGCTCGTTTGGCGAAGTCACTCTTGAAAACGAAAATGCCCTCTCTTGGCATGAATGACATGGGATCTGAGTCTTCCATCACTGGGCACAGGACTTCCAGGAACGACAGGAAGGCAGAGGGGCACCGTGGAATGGAGAGGCAGACTGGGGTGAGGTCTGTGCACCTGCTCCCTTCCCTGGAAGTCCTCCCCATCCTGGGCTCCTCCAGGTCTGTGTACCTGCTCACTCTCTCTCTCAAATAAATAAAATCTTAAAAAAAAGTGTTTCAATGTAGCCATCTGAAAGGTACTGCGGTGTAAGGAGTCAGAGCACCTGTTCCACTTTCCTCCAGACGCCTAGTCTGGGCTCCTCCATGTCTGTGCACCTGCTCCCTTCCCTAGCAGCCCTCCCCGTCCTGGGCTCCCCCAGGTCTGTGTACCTGCTCCCTTCCCTGGCAGTCCTCCCTGTCCTGGGCTCCCCCAGGTCTGTGCACCTGCTCCTTTC